CAAACTGAAGTAAGTTCGGTTAAAAGGTGGAAAATATAAGCCGCTTTTCAGTGATGTTAATACGTTGTTCCGAAGTCAGTCAATGACCAGTAAAATTATCTACGAGGAAATGAAATTTCTGGGGCAAAATTACCTGTCGATCTCACTGAAGCCGGTTATTGACATGGTTAGACAATCTAATCTGTGACTTATCAATTTAGTTTGAAACTGAACTAATTTTATTTGAAAGTACAGAAGGAAAGACTGAGGTTTTTTTCTAAGTCATCTCAAAAAGTGGAACTGCATAAGAAAAAGTATTATTTCAATTAAAATATCACGTCACTTTCAGAACTTCAGTATTTTCAAAGTTACAGACATAAAAGTAAATCAAAAATAAACTTTCAGATATACAGTCAAAAGAAGTGTTGTGAAGTTGATCCAACAAAGCTAAGGTCTGGTGATAAACTTGAGGACAACAAGGTAAGCTTGTATGCTCAAGTTTTTTTTAGACGCATAAAAGTCTAAGATTTTTCATTTCTCATCGTGTTTTTATTGTTGCCATTGAATAATAAACAAGTGCTTATCATAGTAACTAAGATGACATTTCTATAGCTGATTAAGTATACTTTCTATTACAGTTTAATCTCATCTTTTATGGAGAAATGGCGTTTTCTGGAATGGTTGAGTCGTATCAGAAGTGTCCAGCATTATTACGGCGAACGTTTGCAGATCTTCGGGAATTAGTAGCACAACAGTACCCAGATCGAACAGATTTACAACGTTTGGCTGTCAGCTCTTTCATTGTGCTACGATTCTTTGCTGCTGCTGTGATGAATCCAAAACTGTTTGGGTTAAAAGGGGAACAGCCGGTAAATTGTTTGTCAATTTCTATATCATCGACAGGAAGACGAAGAAAGAATGGAGAGGAGGAAGGGGAGTAGGAGAGGAGGGAATATAAAAATAATTTATTTTCACCATTCCAGTTTTCTTCAATTCTAAATCTGTTGGAAATTGTTTCCTGAAGTCATCAATGTTTGTCAATTTTAGGATGCGGTAACCAGCAGAACACTGGTGCTTGTCTCAAAAATTCTTCAACGGGCTTCTAACAGCGCTGTATCGGAGAGGGCTTTAAATTCCAAGGAACCTTGGTTATCTTCAGTTCTGGAAAGGTATCTGAAA